GTTCAAAAACAGAAAACTATATCAATGGACAGAATTGAGAGTCCGTAAACAGAGCCCTACATCTGTGAGGGACACAAAAGTAGATGAACCACAGATGAGCAAATAAAGAACAGACTTTTCAATGAATGGTGCTGGAATCAATTGAATGTCCTAATGTCCACATTACTATTATCCAAATTATCCACTAGTAACTGTTTTTTGCTGTTAAATAAACAGGTAAATGTGAATGGTAAAAACTTCAACACTTTTAAAAGAAAATATAGAAGAATGTCTTTAAGACCACACAGAAAAGGATTTTTTAAAAATAAGTCACAAAAGGTCAGGTGTGATGGCTCACACCTGTAATCCCAACACTCTGAGAGGCTGAGGTGGGTGGATCACTTGAGGTCAGACGTTTGAGACCAGCCTGGCCAACATGGTGAAATCCTGTCTCTACTAAAAATACAAAAATTAGCTGGGCATGGTGGCAGTTGCCTGTAATCCCAGCTACTCAGGAGGCTGAGGCAGGGGAATTGCTTGAACCTGGGAGGCAAAGGTTGTAGTGAGCTGAGATCCCACCACTGCACTCCAGCCTGGGCAACAGAGCAAGACTCCATCTCAAAAAGATAAAATAAATAAACAAGTCACAAAAATGTCATATGAAAAAAGAAAATGATTGACACAAAAATTAGGAAATTGAGTTCATCTAAAGAAGTCATAAAGAAAATGAAAAGACAGGCCGGGTGTGGTGGCTCACATCGGTAATCCTAGCACTTTGGGAGGCCGAGATGGGCAGATTACTTGAGATCAGGAGTTCGAGACCAGCCTTGCCAACATGGTGAAACCCTGTCTCTACAAAAACACAAAAATTAGCTGGGCATGATAGCATGTGCTTTTAATCCCAGCTGCTAGGGAGGCTGAGGCAGGAGAATCACTTGAACCTGGGAGGGAGAGGTTGCAGTGGGCCGAGATTGCGCCATTGCACTCCAGCCTGGGCAACAGAGTGAGATGCTGTCTCAAAAAAAGAAAATGAAAAGACAAGCCACAGCCTAGGAGAAAACATTCATGACACATATAACTGACAAAGGAGTAGTATCCAAAATATATAAAGAATTGTTACAAATCAATAAGAAAAAGAAAACAACCCTATAGCAAAATGAAATAAAGACAAGAACATACTTTCACTAAGACGGGAAATCCAAATGACCAATTAAACACATTTAATGATGTTTAGATTCATTACTAATTGTAGAAATGGAAACTACAGGGTGCATTACAATGCAAATTAAAATGACAATAAAATGTTTTCCACTCACTAGGGTGGCAAAATTGTAAAATCTAACAATTGGGGAGCAACAGGAATTCATTTACACAAGATGTGTACATATGGTGTAAATCTATAAAGAAAAAGAAGGGAATAGGCTGGGCATGGTGGCTCACGCCTGTAACCCCAGCAGGCGATTTGGGAGGCTGAGGTGGGTGGATTACCTGAGGCCAGGAGTTCGAGACCAACCTGACCAACATGGCAAAACCCTGACTCTACTAAAAATACAAAAAAAAATTAGCCAGGAATGGTGCCACGCACCTATAATCCCAGCTACTCAGGAGGCTGAGGCATGAGAATCGCTTGAACCTGGGAGGCGAAGGTTTCAGTGAGCCAAGATCGTGCCATTGCACTCCAGCCTAGGCGACAGAGCAAGACTCCATCTCAAAAAAAAAAAAAGAAAGAAAGAAAAAGAAGGGAATAATAAACACCAAATCCAGGACAGGGGTTACCTCAGGAGGGGTGGTATAAAGAGAGAGAGGCACCCAGGAGGGCCTCCCAGTCTCAGTACATAGGCAATGTTGGTTACACAGATGTTTCTATCATTATTTTGTGTACCTTATATGTGTTTTATATAATATTCTATTGTACACATATATGTGTGTTCTATTATATATATGAAATATTCTATCATGTATTTATGTATTTATTTATTTGAGAGAGAGTCTGGCTCTGTCACCCAGGCTGGAGTGCAGTGATGCAATCTCGGCTCACTGCAACCTCTGCCTCCTGGGTTCAAGTAATTCTCGTGCTTCAGCCTCACAAGTAGCTGGAATTATAGGCATGCACCACCATGCCTGGCTAATTTTTGTATTTTTAGTAGAGATGGGATTTCACCATCTTGACCAGCTGGTCTCAAACTCCTGGGCTCAAATGATCCACTCACCTCAGCCTCCAAAAGTGTTGAGATTACAGGAGAAATATTCCATCATTTTAAAATTAAGTTACTAAAAATAAGATAAAATAAAGATACTATTTTGACTCTGGAAGGGCTTGAAATATTGTCAAGAAAACAGAAAACCAAATCATTCCAATATAATGTAGGTGGGTATAAGATGCCATGGGACCCAAGAGGAGAGACTTGCTAACTCTGCCTGAGAAAGTTAGAGGGGCCCTATGAAAGAGGGGATACATTGAGTTGCGTCTTAAAGAATGAATAGGAGTTTTCTGGGTCATTTGATATCAGCAGCACTAGATTTACAAAGCATAAGAGAGAGGAAGGCAGCATAAGACAGTATCATGAGGAATTGCAAGAACTTCAATGCTCTGGTCTCACAGATATATCCATGCCATGTTTTTATTTTTGCTGTTAGGCTGAAGGCAAAATGGTTGGGTCTTTTGTGTTTTTCGAGCCACGTTGCCAGTATGAACACATATAAACTGAAAATTGAATTTCTGAAATAAATGAGATTGTGGTACGAGCATGAAACAGTCATGTAACCATGATCAGCATAGAGTCATCTATGGTCAAGGTGGTGAAGTGGCCCAGCCAGTCAGACTGCAGGATGTGTCACTGCACACCGTTCTTACCAAGCAAATAGAGGAAGCTTGAGAAGGTATTTGCAGAGCCTCAGAAAAATGCTGTGGTTATTCTAAGTAAACTTAAGCATGGCTTTGAGGGAAAAATAAATTTTGGATTTCGAGATCTGTCTAAGTTTTAGATACTTTATATCTAACCACATTACACTTACAAAAAAAAAGGAGCTAGATGTGTATAAGAGACAGCTTTATATCTAACCACATTACACTTACAAAAAAAAAGGAGCAATTTTTTCTCATCAAACCTCTAGCTAGCCTTATTAATTAACAAAATGACTAATTTAGAATTCAGCTTTCCTCCACAACCCCTGCTATTCTCTGACAGAAAGAGGAAAGGGGAGAGGAGAGGAGATACATTTCTAGAAGGCAGGTGCCCTGAGAAAAGTAACCAGCCACTGTGGTTGGCCATCTGCACAATCAATCAGTCCATATGTAACTGACCTGCAGTAACATCAGGGAAGACAGCATGAGCCAAAGACCTGCAACCAGAATCCGTTTAATTTTAGGCCCGGTGTGGTGGCTCACGCCTGTAATCCCAGCACTTTGGGAGGCCGAGGCGGGCAGATCATTTGAGGTCAGGAGTTTGAGAGAAGCCTGGCCAACACGGCCAACTAAAAATACAAAAATTAGCTGGGGGTGGTGGTGCACACCTGTAATCCCAGCTACACGGGAGGCTGAGGTGGGAGTATTGCTTGAACCTGGGAGGTGGAGGTTGCAGTGAACTCAGATTGTGCCACTGCACTCCAGCCTCAATGACAGAGCAAGACTGTCTCAAAAAAAAAAAAAAAAAAAAAACCCTTTAATTAAAAAAAAATCTTGCATTATTGTTAGAAAGTCATATTACTATTATCCAGATTCTTCAAACATTGCTTTTGTTTGATCAACCTTCTTCATATACCCTGGGTTTGGCTGAGGGGTTTAGGTGTTTTAATAATATTATTACAATTGACCCAGTAAAGCAGTCAGAATCCATGGACACTTAAACTGACTTTAACTTGTAGCTGTTTTGGTCTCTCAACAGGAATCAGGCAAAGAATCTCAGAGGAGTCTGTTAACCTCCCAAAAGTGACAACTAGGATAACAATGTCAGAAATCCCTGAACTACCCTAGTTATTGGAGAATGGGGGTATTGTGGTGCACTGACTGCTTTTTATTAAGTAATCTACATTTTGAAAAGCTTTCTGTTGCTTTTTCTTCTGTGGTGGTTAATGATTTTGTTAAATCCAAAGAGGTAGTAGCAACTAAGAATGTGGGTTTGGAGTCCGACCAACCTGGTTGGAAGCCAGATTCTAGCCCTTTAGTTTTAGTAGTTTCCCTATCCAAATAAATGGACTATAATTTCTTTTTTCTTTCTTACATTTTTCTTCTAGAGACAGGGTTTCACTATGTTGCCCAGACTGGACTCAAACTCCTGGGTTCAAATGATCCTCCCACCTCAGCCTTAAGTGTACCATAATTTCTTAACCCCATAGTTTCTACTTCTTTATATTTATGAATAATGCTATATCAAATATCTTTGTATGAAAACATTGGTTCCCTGTGGCAGACACCATTGGCTGCTTACCCAAAAGCAATTTACCCTCCTTCCTTTGGAATGCTACCCCACTGGTATTCAGGCAGCCATGTGCCTGCTGGGCCTTGAGTGGCCTGAGCCCATCATGGAGATCTCACTCCTCTTTGTTAATGAGACACATCCAGAAGGTGAAGGGAAGGGTTTACGAGCTTCTGAGAAAGGCGTTTTGGGAGAAGGTCTGTTTTGCCCCACTCTCTTCTTTTGTATTGGTCCATTGTCATATGAGGACAGGATGCTGTGAGTGCTACCATGAAGGAAGACAACATGTCCCCCCAACTCTTGATGGCAGAGTGAGAAAAGAAAGATCCCAGGTTCTTCGTTATACCATGGGGACACAAAACCACTTCCAGGGTTTCTTACTACCAGACTTGTATGAGCAAGAAACGTCTGAATGCTGCAGTCACATTAGTTGAGTTTTTTTTTTTTTTTTTTTTTTGAGACAGAATTTCACTCTCATTGCCCAGGCTGGAGTGCACAACCTTGGCTCACTGCAACGTCTGCCTCCCAGATTCAGGTGATTCTCCTGTCTCAGCCTTCCGAGTAGCTGGGATTACAGGTTCATGCCACCACGCCAGGCTAGTTTTTATATTTTTAGTAGAGACGGGATTTCATCATACTGGTCAGGCTGGTCTCGAACTCCTGACCTCAGGAGGTCTGCCTGCCTCAGCCTCCCAAAGTGCTGGTATTATAGGCATGAGCCACCATGCCCGGCTGAGTTTTCTATCACTGGCATCTGAAAGCATTGGAGCTCTTAACCTAAATTTAATTTATTTCTAGAGTAGGTTCCCACGTGTGGAACTTCTAGACCTCATCTATACAGGCAAATCTCACTCGAGAAAAGCCTCCATTTATACCCCATCAGCATATAGGAGACTACCTTCTCACCACAGTCTCTTCAATAGTGAGCCACTGAGTATTACAGATTATCATTCTTTAAAAATCACTGCTAATTTGGTAGGCAAAATCTACTATTTCAAAATTAGTGTTTGCTCATCTGGAGTTGGTGGAGCACAGTGTGATTGGACTTGGCATAAGAGAGCCTCCTGGCAGCCCGCCCAGGCACTGCAGGGAGAGGTGTGGTCGGTATGAGGCTTCCAGAAGCAGTGACAGTGACGAGTAAGGGTCAACAGTGAACTCACATGGGAAGGATCAAGAGCTCTTCCAGGTGAGGCCAGAAATGTGAAGGCAAAGGTGTAAAGCTGGCCTGAGCCGGCAGGAGGTGACCAGGGATCACAGACAAGGGCAGGCCCCAGGCAGGAGTGGCCCTCTGGAAGGCCCCAAAGGCTTGTGTCTTCTCAGCCAGATTGTGTGCCTCTGCTCTGTGTGTTCCACCCAGAGATGATCTTAAAGATGCTCCTTAGCCCCTGAGGATCTTTCTTTATCTTTTTTTTTTTTTTTTTTTTTGAGACAAGGTCTCACTCTGTTATCCAGGCTGGAGTGTACTGGCACGATCTCGGCTCACTGCAACCTTGACCCCCTCCAGGCTCAAGTCATCCTCTTGCCTCAGCCTCTCGAGCAGTTGCGACTGCAGGTGCGCACCACCACACCCAGCTAATTCGTGTATTTTTTTTTTGGTAGAGACGAGATCTCACTATGTTGCCCAGGCTGATCTTAAACTCCTGAGCTCAAGTGATATGCCCAATTGGGCCTCCCCAAGTGCTGGGATTACAGGCGTGAGCCACCATGCCCGGCCAAGATCTTTCTTGATAAAACCCAAAACAGAGGCTGGGCATGGCGCTCCCACCTGTAATCCCACCACTTGGGGAGGCTGAGGTGGGCAGATCACCTGAGGTCAGGAGTTCGAGACCAGCCTGGCCAACATGGTGAAACCCTGTCTCTACTAAAACTACAAAAAATTAGTCGGGGTTGGTGGCAGGTGCCTGTAATTCCAGCTACTCGAGAGGCTGAGGCAGGAGAATCACTTGAACCCAGGAGGCGGAGTTTGCAGTAAGCCAATATCGTGCCGCTGCACTCCAGCCTGGGCAACAAGAGCAAAACTCCGTCTCAAAAAACAAAAAACAAAAAACCCCAAACAGGAAAATGGAGGAGGCCAAGATGACCTAACTACTGTAAACTGTCTGCTCAAATTTTAAACAGAGCCAAAATTAAATATGGGAATTAAGTTTCCTTACATTGAAACTCAGAAACAACACTTGCGCTTTTTGTATCAGTCAGAGTTCAGTCAGAAAGACGGAAAACACTCCAGTTATTTCAAACAGAGAAAATTTAATTTAGGAATTTACTTTTTACTTTTTATTTTTATTTTTTTGAGATGGAGTCTTCCTCTGTCACCCAGGCTGGAATGCAGTGGCGCAATCTCGGCTCAGTGCAACCCCCGCCTCCTGGGTTCAAGTGATTCTCCTGCCTCAGCCTCCCAAGTAGCTGGGACTACAGGCATGTGCCACCATGCCTGGCTAATTTTTGTATTTTTAATAGAGATGGGGTTTCACCATGTTGGCCAGGCTGGTCTTGAACTCCTGACCTCAGGTGACCACCCGCCTTGGTCTCCCAAAGTGCTGGGATTACAAGCGTGAGCCACCGTGCCTGGCCTAATTTGGGGAATTTTCAACAAAATTGTTAGAAGGTCTAGAAGAGCAAAAGGATGAAGAAAGAGTGCTGGAGAAACAAAAACAGAAACAGTGATACCCAAAGACCAGAAGCTGCTAATACCACCCTGAGTAGGACTCTGAGACCCTACCTCTGCTGCCACAATTTTGGAGCCACTATTGCAATTAGTTCTAAATCCATCAAAGAGATGAAGAGATAAAACCACGGAAAATGTTCTGCTTCTATCTGGGCTTCTAGGGCCTCGGAATGACCCCACTTTCTGCTGCCTCAACAGCAACTGTAAGGACCTGCCAACAACTGCCAGGGAATGAGGGCCAGTGTAGGACTCTCCTCCCTTCTCCCTACCCTCTGGTCTCCTGCTTGTCCTCTAATTGGACGAGCTCACGGAAATCCAGTTGGCAAAGAAGCCTGGGAAATGTAGTTTGCAGTCTCTCAACCCCAGTAGGTCAGAGTGTACCAGGGCAGGTATGGAGCTGAGAATAAATAGGAAGTAACTTGCACATTATCATATCCAATTCTACAACCTCTATTTTTCACTCTAAATTGGACTATATAACTTATTTTTATATTTGATTCTGGGTGAAATTCTCATATGAATCTAACTCCTCTCCATGAGAGTTTTTCATAAAAGTTGACCATGAGAAACAATTTGTGTTGTCCATTCTACACAGAATGCAGGAGCTTGGCACCGAACGGTGCTGTCTTTTACATAGAAAGATGACTGCACTGATGATCCGGTCAAAGACACTATTTGAGAGGTTCTGTTTCAAGGTGTACTTTGATAGCCAACATATCTACCTCAAGGAACCTCATTCTAGGGAATGTTTATTGTTTTTCCTCTGACCTGTTTCCTCTCCACCTCTCATCTGGCAATAGCACCCCACACCTTGCAATAGGAAGACCCAGTCGATTCTTCCTCTTTCAAGAAGTTGGATCTTGAATAGACACAGACACAGATCATGGTGCTGTGGAGTCATCTAATGGAACATAGTATAGGGCAATGGTACATGCCCAGGTCCCCAGGGGTGACCTGTTTTCTGTCTTTCCCAAGCCCTGGTTGTTTAGCTGTCCCTTAGCAGTGTATTAGTCAGGGTTCTCCAGGGAAACAGAACCACTAGGGTGGAGGTGGTGTGTCTTGAGAGGGAGAGAGATTTTGAAGAATTGGCTCATGCAATCGTAGCAGCCGGCAAGTCTGACATCTGCAGACAGGCCTGCCAGCTGGAGACCCAGGGAAGAGCTGAGGTTGCAGTTCAAGTCCACAGGCGTCCAGAGGCAGAATTCCTTCTTCCTCAACGAACTTCTCAGTCTTTTCTCTTAAGGTGTTCAACTGACTAGATTAGCAATCACCCACACCATGGAAAGTGACCTGCTTTACTGAAAATCTGTTTATTTAAATGTCAATTACATCTAAAAAATACTTTCCCAGCAACATCTGGACCAGTGTTTGACCAAAAACTGAGCACCATGGCCTAGCCACGTTGACACTAGAATTACTTGTCACAAAGATTCTGCCAATACATCCTTTTTTTTTTTTTTTTTTGCCCTAGTTTATTGGAAATATTTTCTGTTGCTTGCACTGCAGAACACGAACTGCTACAGAATATAATTTGTTTGAACACCAGGCTGTCCAAATTGAACTTTGACCTGGCAGGTTGATAATTTGCCTCAGTACACAAAGATTTGACGTTGAATAGTGGTGGTTCCTTTTCCTATGGCATCACTTAACTTTTATATGAAAATAAGACATATATTAATAATAGCAAAAATACTTTAAAAATAATATATGGCCTATCTCTCACTAGTTCTTGTCTTTACTTGCTATTTTTGGACCTCAGGTCCCTGGAAATTCCTGGGAGATGTTTTCGGGTGTTTCACACAGACCCCCCAGCTAGCCCAGGCAGCTGAAGTGGTGCTCTGCTTTCCTTCTCCTCCCCTGTCATGTGCTGGGCCCAGACACAACTCTAACTGGTCATCACTGTTAGTGCCACTGAGCCACCCTTTCCTCCCGTGGACTGCTGCCAGGCCCTGTGAGATCTTGAACTACTCAGGGCCTGCAGGGAGGCCTGGAGCTTGGCTAGGGTACCACACTCCCTTGCTCCCCCCTGTCTGCTCTCCCACATCCAACCAAGCACAGAGGCATGCTTATTAGTACAAGTACACCTCCCCCTTCCACAGATAAGGCTGGCTCCTTTTTCCATTAGGAAACCTCCCTGGTCTTCCACATCCAGTCAGCTTCAGATAGCCCATGCTGTCAATTCTTCAGATGTGCCCAACAGATCTGAAATTCAGCAATGATCCCAACAGGGGGTGGGATGAAACCCCTACTATAAAAGTGATAGAGCTACAGACCTGTGGCACCTTGGATAATCAAATCAAATTTAAAACACTGGGACAAACCATTGGTTTGATCTAAATCATCCATGCTCTCAGACTTTAAAACAAACCAGGGTCGGGCGTGGTGGCTCACACCTGTAATCTCAGCACTTTGGGAGGCCAAGGCGGGAGGATCACGAGGTCAAGAGATCGAGACTATCCTGGCCAATATGATGAAACCCCGTCTCTACTAAAAATACAAAAAAATTAGCTGGGCGTGATGGTGCGCACCTGTAGTCCCAGCTACTTGGGAGGCTGAGGCAGGAGAATTGCTTGAACCCGGGAGGTGGAGGTTGCAGTGAGCTGAGATCGCGCCACTACACTCCAGCCTGGTGACAGAGCGAGACTCCATCTCAAAAAAAATAATAATAATAATATATATATATGTGTGTGTATATATATACACACACACACATATATATATAAAACAAAAAAATCCATATGGCCATATGACCCTATGCCTGTTAGCTAGACTATGTAGTCATGTCTTCTCCAGCTGGATATAAAATTGAATGGAAGCATTACTCACCTTCATAGACACTTTGGCTTGGAAGGCAGCTCATAAAGTTCACCGAGGAAAGATAAAACTATCTGGGGGAATACAAAGCATTAACAACTACAGAATCTGAAAAGTAACAAAAAGTTCACTCATTTACAAATATGTGAACTCATATAATAGGAAATACTTTCTGATGCTTGCAACCACAAGACTAATTAATGAATCTGTTCAAACTTAAATTTTATTTAACTAGCTGCTACTCCACCTCAAGAAATTATATATTGTGTTTGAGAATATACCCACTTTCAGCATATAACACTTAACTATTTGTGGAAATGACTATGTTTTAAAAATAAAACCATTTCATGCATTAACAATACCATAAAGAATTATGTAGAATAGTGAGGACTGAATGACACAGAAAGAGTTCATTAATGAGAATGTCATCTTCTCCATTGTGGTATCTTAGGCTTGTGAGAAAGAAAGCTGTGGGAGTTAGATAAAATGTCTAAAAGTAACTTCTTAATTCAGTAATTTTTGTCTGGATCCTAAGCCGAATTTTGACTCAGCAAAAGCAGGAGCTATTTGTCTCTGCTGTCCCACACAAAGCCCACAGGGAAGCCCTCAGGCTTAGCAAATGTTCTCGTGCGCTCAGATTTCTGAACCTGCAGGGCTTTGCATGGCTGCCACAAGGACACTCACAACATGAGAACCTCAGTGTAGAAAGGTGGTGATTGCAAATCTACAATGAAATTCTATTCTTGAATTCCACAAGAATAAAAAAGTCTTTGCTCCTCTTCTGTACTCAGGAAAGGGAACGCAGGAGGATCACTGGAGCGAGGACAATTATGGAACCATGCAACTGGACTTCCCAAATCGGTGAACTGCGCGCCTGCAAGCTTTTTCCATGGTCTGTGGCCCACCTTCACCTCACAAGATGGGGAAGAGATAAAACACTTTGGTTTTCTTAATGCAATGTTGGTGTATCTTTAAGAAAGTATAGCCTAGACCTTTATCACAAGCACAAAGTCAAGGCACCCAAAGTCCAAACACTCCTTTACTTCATGGAGACATCCAATCTTTCAGCCCAGAGTCCACAGTGGTTTGGGAGTGGCTGCCCTCTGTCTTGAACTCATCCCACCGAGATTCTCCAGGGACATGGTCTTCATGGGGACGCCCTTGGGGCTCCACACCTTAGAACCCTCCAGCTCCTCGGCCTTTACTCACCTCCTTCCCCAGGGTCCTTTTTGCAGCTTCTCGTCTATGTGGACAGTCATTCCGTTTTCCTCCTGATGGTGTGGGAGGAGGACTGTACTCCTGGAGATGAGGCATCTACAAGGCAAGTAGGCCTTCATGTTGTAAAAAATGGCCCCCTCTTAGCAGTTTACTGTGTGGGTTAAGCTTAAAATATGTTATTATACTGAAAAAGGGAGGGGGTGCTGAGTTGCATTACCAAGGCCATATCTGTTAACTTCAGCATGCAGCAGGAGAGCAAAATTGCTGGGAGCTGGGGAGGATGAAGGGAAGAAAAAAAGCTCCATCCTATTACCAAATATAAAACTGAATACTCAAATTTACTTGAATAAGGTTTAAGTTAATTTGAGTTAATTAATCTGAATAAGAAAAAGTTGTCAACTTCAGCAATAAGACTCTGACCTCGTATTTTTGCCCTGTTTATCAACAGCTTCTAAAAGAGGTGCCTGATATTTTGCAGCAGATAGCAAAGTACAATAAGATCTTACTTGAAGAAAAGGCAACAAATTTTATTCCGCCTGGCTCTTCTGGTATGCTACTTCTGCTCTGTTATCTTTTAAGGTGACAGATTTATTAGGTTTCTGGATATTACTTCCTTGCAAATACTTGACACAGAGAACTTGGCCATGAGAACAGAAAAGATGGGGAGATAATATTTTTAAAGCAGGCAGATTGGATTTGGAGAGGAGCAGAAAGGACCTCCAAAATAGTTAGGGTGCTCTAGAGACTGAGCCAACAGAATGTGTATATAGATAGGTTTATCATAAGGAATTAGCTCACATGATTGTGGAGGCTTAGCCAAGTTCAAAGTCTGATGGGGCAGGCTGGAGACTCAGAGAAGGGTGGGAATCTGAATCCAAAGGTAGTCTGCACGCAGAATTCCTTCCTTCTGCGGGGAGGTCAGTCTTTGTTCTAGTAAGGGCTTTAACTGATGGGAGGAAGTCCTCCCACATGATGGAGGGCAATCTGCTTTACTCAAAATCCACTGATTTAAATGTCAATCTCATCCAGAAAACATCCACACAGAAACATCCAGAATCATGTTTGACAAAATATCTGGGCACCATGGTCTAGCCAGATTGGCACATAAAATTAACCATCATACTAGGGAAATGGTGATAGGTCCAAGTTCCCAGAAGGAATGACTCCTCAGGGAACAAAATCCTGGACAATGCTGGGAAGGCATGCACTAGTGGCCCCCAGGATCACATCTGGTGTTGGTGGATTTTCAGTTGGGGTACTGAGGAAGAGCAGTGGTTTCTGTAGCAATCAGAAAGACCAAGTCCCAGAGAATCTAAGAACCAGAAGAGATTTTGGAATTTACAGGGCAGAGGTCCTCAGATTTGAGCATGCTTCTGAATCACCTAGAAGCTTTGTTATAACAGACGGTTAGATCTTGTCATACTCGGAGTATCAGAGTAACAGTCAAAAATTTTGCATTTCTAACAATTTCCTAGGTGTAAGGACAGTGGCCGCACTGCAGTCAAGTATAGGCCGAGGTACACATCCAGCACAGCATGACACAGCAGGATTGGAGCACAGGCACACAATCCCATATATTATATCATCACAGTTATGTAGCCATAACATGGGAGGGCTCATCACCTGGCTCTGAGCTACTATTGTCTGTGAGGTGCATAAATACAGCATTGACAGTGTGAGAGAGCTGCTGAACAAAGCCATGTCCCACCTACCTGTGGTCTCTCGAGTGTTCTTTCAGCTGCCCTCCCCTCATCCACCAACTCCCCGTGGACCTCAGCTTGGATCGGAACCTGACACCAGGTGACGCTGAGGCTGGCTCCCGGTCTTGGGACTACATTTTAAGAACCACGGACCTAGGACCTTGCTGTTCCAATTACAGCCCACGAACCAGCAGCATCAGCAGCATCCATGAGCTTCTTAGAAATGCAGGTCTCAGGCCCCACTCTTGACCTACTATACCACACTCTCACGTTGACAAGATCCTCATGTAACTTGTGTGCACATTATAATGTCGGAAACACTGATATTGCAAATGAGAACAATGAGAGTGATGGAGTACCTTGCTTGACAAAGGAGAGGACTGATTCCTGATTCCTGGTCTCAGCATTCTTCCACACCCCTGTGCCTTTCCACGGCTGCATGTTAGAACCACCTGGGAACAAACACTGTTGCCCCACCCCAAGGATAATGATGTAACTGGTCTGGGGCAGGGTCTCAGGCATGGACATTACTTTCAAACTCCCAGGTGGTTCTAATGTAGCACTGGGGTTAAGAAGCACTGATATAGCCCACATTTAAGGCTAGGTTTTATATCATTACCCCATTCACCTTGTTGAAAAACTATTTGAGATTTGTTTTCAAATGTCTTTCTCCATTGAGTTTTTTATTGGAAAACATTCCTGGCCCTTTAGTTAAGATGTTTATTTGAAATTTTTTTTTTTTTTCTGGTCAGATCACGTTTCAGAAACACCTGCAAATGGTTTGCAAGGCCAGTCCTCACTGAGCCCACAACACCTAGTGCCTATGAGTTTCAGATATACCCAGCCCCAGGAAAACCTTCGCTTCCTTCTAAGCACACCCTAGAAGAAAACTCTTCCTTACCTGCCTGATGTAAGGATCTCACCATTTCCTCACTGAAGATTTTGCTTCTTTTTGGCATAGGAACCCTGTCAGGACTGAATGATGACTACAGAAAGAGCAGAAAAGAGAGAGAGCTTCCTTCCCCAGAACTCTGCTGGGAGAAGTGGGCTGGGAAGATGGTGGCTGCCTGTTTAAGGGTCCAAGTCTTCTCCTTTCTCCTCTTGTTGGTGCCAGAAGAAACAGACACATAGATGGAGGACAAGTTATTTGAGGCCAAGGTTGAATGAGTTTCCAAAAATGCCAACTCCTGCCAGGGCTGTGCTCTGTTGGCAGCTCCTCCCACCAATTCCTGACCCTGCTGGAGCCAGTAAACAGGGGAGGGGCTTATAGCTCTGGCTTTGGGTTCTGTTAAATGTCGCTGACCAAAGATTACCTCGATTTCTTTGACCTGCAGTCCAAAAAAAAAAGACGTTAGATTTACTGGCTTTGATGCAACAGGAGCACATGTCCCCAGAGGAATGTGGGGACTTCAGGAAGACGAAGGAGTTGGGAGAGGCTTCTTACAGGATTGGACTCACACGGGGTGACTCTAGGAGGGGAAGAGGAAAGTAGGGGGCAATCCTAGAATGGACGCTGTCAAGGAGTACGGGCAATTTGTAATCGTATATGAATTTGATCGAGACGGTAGGAGCACTCCAGATGGCTGTCATTGGTGACGGGCAGCAGTCATTCAGGTCCATCAGAAGAGGACATTTAGTCACTTTCGTGCTTGTAGAACGGCTTTGTCTGTCTTGCGCCAAACATATTGTTGGGAGGTGGGAGCAATGTTTATGTGCAATTTGGAAACCACAGTCTGGTGGCCAGCAGGGCCAGTTGTCACCTTTTCAGTATTCAAAACTCAGTGTTCTCCTTGAGAATGAAATGAGATTGGAGATTGTTTCCTAATTTCTTTTTTGAGACAGAATCTTGCTTTGTCGCCCAGGCTGGAGTGCAATGGTGTGATGTTGGCTCACTGCAAACCTCCATCTCCCAGGTTCAAGTGATTCTCCTGCCTCAGCCTCCCCAGTAGCTACCATTACAGGCACCCACCACCACGCTCCACTAGGTTTTTGTATTTATAGTAGAGATGGGGTTTCCCCAAGTTGGCCAGGCTGGTCTTGAACTCCTGACCTCAGGTGATCTGCCCACCTAAGCCTCCCAAAGTGCTGGGATTACAAGCATGAGCCACCACGCCTGGCCGTGTCCTAATTTCTTACCACTATAATCCCTGTTCTCTTCAGAACAGTTTCTGTAGGTTTCAGAGACAGGTGAACAACACAAATTCACCAATCAAAAATGTGATACTACTCACTGCATACTTTCTAAAATTTGGAATTGAGTGTTTGCACATTTCTAAAGATGCATCAGTCAAGGAGTTTATATATCTGTAAATCTGAGAAATCTGAACAGTTTTGCTTTATGAAATGAGAATCTAGGCCAGGTGTGGTGGCTTAGGCCTGTAATCCTAGTACTTTGGGAGACCAAGGTGGGACGGATCACATGAGGCCAGGAATTTGAAGCCAGCCTGGGCAACATAGTAAGACCCCATCTCTTAAAAAAAAATTTCTGTTTTAAACTTAGCCAGGAGTGGTAATGTGTGCCTGTGGTCCCAACTACCTGGAAGACTGAAGTGGGAGGATTGCTTAAGCCCATGAATTCAAGGCTGCAGTGAGCTATGATCGTGCCACTGCATTCCAGCCTGGGTGACAGAGAGTGAGAACCTGTCTGAAAAACAAACAAACAAACAAACAAAGAAAATACAGAAGAGAGCAACTCAGACTGGTTCAGGGGCTCCACGATGCTACTGAAGACCCTGACTCCTTCCACCATCTGCTCAGCCATCCAGGCAGGATGTGTTTGACATCTAGTAATTATAGAACAGCAGCTTTGTCTTCAGCACCATGACTGTATTCCAAGCAAGAAGAAATGGAGGAACAAAAGACAGAAAAGTCAAGCCACCTGGGTCTCCCTCCTTGTAAAGAGCCTTCTGGGAAGCCTCTTGCATCAACGTGTGCATATGTCTCATTGGCCAGTGCTATGTCACATGGTTACCCCATCAGCAAGAAAGCCTAGGGAATGTTGTTTTTCCGGCTTGTGGGCCCGGCTTGTGGGCCTACATACCAAAATTGAGTTCTGTTAGCAAGGAAGAAGAGGAGAATGGATATTCAGGCACTTTGGCCATGCACTGTCTGGGACCTGTGAATCTTCCATTATGGAGAAAGAAGTTCCTAAGTGTGTTAGTCTGATGTTGGTGGCAGAGCAAATTATTCTACAATGTGATGGCTTTATACAACAAGCACTTCTTATCGCACACAATTTCTGAGAGTCAGGATTCTGGGAGTGGCTTAGCTGGGTGGTTCCAGCTCAGAGTTGCTCATGAGGCTGCAGTGACTTGAAGGCTTCACTGGGCCTGAAGAATCCACTTCCAAAATGACTGTTGGCTGGAGGCCTCAGTTCCTTGTCACGTGTGCCTTTCCCTGGGCTTTTTTGGGCATTTTCACAAGCACAGGGGCTGCTTCCTCTCAGAGCTGGTGAACCAAGAGGAAGAACAAGAAGGATGTCGCAATGCCTTTCTGACCTAGTTACACACTATCACTTCCACCATGTTTTATTCACTAGAAGTCAGTCACTAAGTTCAGCCCATACCCAAGGAAAGCAAAATGAAGCTCCATCTTTTGAAGGGAGGAGTAGATGTATTTGTGGATACATTTAAAACCCCCACATCAGGAGTGGGCCACCCCTGAACTGTTCTGTCCCTTTGACTTCACCTTCCTCCTTTGCCTCTTCTCCCTCCTATTCTCATGTTCTCTCTTTCTCCTTTCTTTTTCTTCTCTCAGGATTTCTCCCCTCTGGCATATACTCTCTTGTGTGTTTAGTAGCACAACAGCCCCTCTCCACCAAAAGCAAAATTCATCTCAAAGGCCTTTTAACAGTTCCAGTGATGGATTAGCAGGGAGCAAAGGCACCTGGTGGGGTAGGCTGATATTGATTCTGAGTACCTGGTCATGTTTTTAAGAACCAAAGAGATTGTGGCACATCCATCTTTCTCTTCTATGTAAATCGAAAACCAAAACAGCCCTGCACTGCAAAATATAAATAATGAAGCCCATCAAAGTACTGATTTTTCCCAAAACTATTTTGCTGGGTTTTTGTTTGTGTGTTTGTTTGCTTGCAATATGAAATAGCAAGTTCTTTCCTTCTCATTGCCATTGTTTTGTTTCCAACTTTGCTGGAGCCCTGCACACATGCTCGGTTAGCCTCTTCGGTAATTCAGCCCTGGTGAGTCACATCCAAAATTACAGCTGTTAAATGAGTTCCAGGCTGCCCTGATTTACAAATACTCAATGTGTGAGAAATCCACATAGTACTGATAGTGACAGGAGTCAGCCAAATGCCTAGGCAGATAGGGGAAGGTCCCTGGTGAAACCCCACCTCCAAGTCAAAGACAGTTTAAAGCCTGAAAGCCAAGCTACATGTCAAATCCATGGACCAGATTGAGAACCTGTCTTTCCATTTGGCATGCTTTCCTCTAGTTGATCCTCACCCTTCAGCTATTCTACATATACCTACACTTTCCTAAGGGTTTTCTACAGGGTTGTGCCCACCTTTGAGTGGTATCTTCACTATAAACTTTTTGCATACTCACAAACCAATCAGCACGCACTTGCCATTCTGAATCCATAAAAGCCCTGATTCAGTCACATTGGGAGAGCAACCCACCCAACTGCTGGGATGGGGGACCACCCCCGCATCCCTTCTCTGCTGAGAGCTGTTCTGTGGCTCAATAAAATTCTTCTCCACCCTCTTCACTCTTTGAATTGTCCCTGTATCTTCATTCTTCTTAGATGTGGGACAAGAGCTCGGAAACCACTGAACGCAGGTACAAGACATAACACAGGCGGGCCAAGTTATGGTGGGGTGCCTCCAGCAGCAGGCTGCGGGCAAGTGAGACCTGGGAAGCAGGTGGGGGCATTGCTGGGTAAGGAGGTCCCCAGCTGTCAAAGTGGCTGAGAAAAATCCTGTGTCAGTACTGATAAACGCAACTATCTCACCACTGCACCTGCCATTGCTGTGGCCCTGGCAGCTACCAGCTGCTGTGGCTCAGGGTGCTAGTTATCTCCCAATATCTGTCTTTCCCTTCTTCTGTAAGTAACAAAAGCTCCCATTTTCAGGTGGGCACATGGCTGCCTATAATAAAGACTACATTTCCCAGCCTCCTCTGCAGCTAGGTATGATCATGTATGGTCATGTCCCTAATCTAGGGGGATGTAAGCACAAGTGTCAAGTGCAGTTTCTGGAAGATATCCTTAAAGACAGAGAATGTGCCCTTCTTTGTCCAGCTGTCTTTCCTGAATTTGGGACAAAATGGCTGGAGTTCAACAACCGTTCTGGGCCATCAGGTAGAAATCACACACCAAGGATGGAGGAGTAATAAAGTAAAAGTTGCTTCGGTTCTTTATAATCCTGGAGCTTCTGCAGTAGCTCTGGACTGCTCACTCCTGAACTTCATTTACATGAAAGGGAAGTGTATTGTATTGTTTCAACTGTGTAACTGGGTTTCTGTCACTAGCAGCTGAACCAAATCCTAGTGACACGGTTCCTTTAAGAACCTGCCCACATTGCACACAAAGGACCCTTCATCTCAGCTCTGATGGGCTGTCTAGCTTCTGCCCCTCACTGTCCCTGTCCTCCGGCTCTGGCCTTCCTGACCATTCCTCTGCTCCCTAGGCATCTGCCCTGAGTCCCAGTGGGTGCCCTGCAGATGCCCTCTTGCCCACTCTGGAACTCTCCTCCCTCACTGCCCTCGCCTGCTTTTTGTCTTAGGAAGGCCAAAATAGTCATGCACAAAATAGGACCCTTTGAGTAAAGCTCTAAGTTCCAACAGAGACAGGAAGAGAAGAGGCAAAAAAAAAAAAACAAACAAAAAAAAACAAAAAAAAACAGAGGGGCACAGACTCCTGAAGGCACATTCACGGGAAAGTCATGTTGGACCAAATTCAGGATCCCTCCTGCCCCTCCTTGACCCTCCTGACTTCACTGTGAGCCCAGACTTCCTCCCGTTAAAACATACGCTTAGAAAACTACAGCCAGCCCTACCGGAATGAAGGGGTTACTTTCCATTCGCAGTTTACTGTGAATTTGTTTAATCCAACTGTTATTTTTATTCACTTTTTTTCCCATTAAGCGAGTATGCATTAAGCACCTATTCTATATCCTAAGATAGAGACAGATAACTTAGGTGCCAGATATGGAGGGCGGAAATCCCACAAAACTCTCACTGGACTGAAATCAAGGAGGCGGCAGGGCTGTGTTTCCTCACGGAGGCTTTGGGGAGAGTCCTTTCTCCGCTTTCCAGCTTCTAGAGGCTGCCCACCTTCCTTAAGTCTCCTTACCTCCCCCATTAAAGGCTTCAACAGTGCGTAGAATCCTTCTCATTGCATCTCTCTCTTTCTCTCTCTCTGATCTTCCTTATCTCTCTCTGACCCAACCTAAAAGGTTCTCAATGTCACATTCGCAGACTCTTGTGATTAGATAAGGCCCACCTGGGTAATCACGGATAACCGTTCCCCTCAGCCTGTACCCTGCTTCGAGGTCCGTAACTTTAATCTTGTGCAAAGTCGTTTTTGCCATGTAAGGTAACATATCCACAAGTTCCCAGGATTAGGGCATGCATATCTTCGGGGGACTCTATTCTGCCTACTACATCCTCCCAATCCTTCCTTTCTACGCCCCCAAACTACTGCCCGAAGCAAGTGTTTTTTTTTTTTTTTTTTTTTTGACAGAGTGTCTGTCACCCAGGCTGGGGTGCAGTGGCGCGATCTTGGCTCACTACAACCTCTGCCTCAGGTTCAAATGATTCTCCTACCTCAGCCTTCAGAGCAGCTGGGATTACAGGCATCTGCCACCACGCCCGGCTAATTTTTGTATTTTTAGTAGAGACAGGGTTTCACTATGTTGGCCAGGCTGGTCTCGGACTCCCGACCTCAGGTGATCTGCCCACCTCGGCCTCCCAAAGTGCTGGGATTACAAACGTGAGCCACTGCACCCCGCCAGCAAAGCTTCTTAAAAATCCTTTTTCCTCCCCGTCCAGTCCTGAAAGCTTCATCTGTTTTGCGCCTTTCTCCTTAATATTCCCCAGAAAAAATCCTACACAGGTCTAGTCCCTGAGCCTCTGCCTTTATCCCTGCGCCCCTTTTCTCCTGGGATTGGGAGCGGGAAGCAGCCGCTCCACGAAGCCCCTCTAGTGGGCAGGAGAGGACTGGGCGGGACCGCGAGCGAGTCCCAGGCGCCTGCAGCTGCTGCTGGGTGATGTGCGGACGGAACTCCCTGGGAAATCGGTTGGCGGCTCCAGGGCTGGTCCACCGCGGCCTTGGGAGCGACGGCAACAGTCTGGAGCGTCCACGCTTCGGAGGCCCCTGTCTCCCCCAGATTCCCCACTGATGAACAGGGACGCCGGTCTGCCTTCCCCAGCTTCCCCTATTCCCTGCCAGGCAGCGTCCCTCGCAGCGATGTTGGCTGCGACAAGCTTGATCTGCAGCGAGGACACCAGGTTTTCTCAATTTCTCCAAATCCAAGCCCGAGCCTGAGCTCCGACGAGCCCCGGCACTGCTTCCTGCCGCCACCTGCCTCCTCCTCCAGCTCCCGCTATCTCCCCAGCGCCGGCGCCCTGGGTGGCCACGGTCCCTCCAGCCTCCGCCCCTTGTTGCCGTCTCCAGGGCACCGGACGCCACGCGGGCAGCCGGCCCGGGACGCAGGGAGAGTGAGCGCGAGTGAGTGCGGGCGCCCGGTGGGGCGGACAGGGGCCGGAGGAGGTTGCCTCAGCCCCGAGAACTGTGCAACCCCGGGAGAAATGCTCGATCCCGGGAGCGAGGCTCCAAGGAGGCCAGGATGCCCGCAGCTCCCTACTCTCTCCAGAGGCGCACCTCCCCTACCCACCCGCACAGCCCCAGGGCGGGGGCGGGGAACAGTGCACGCAGCTGGGCTTTTCCCGGCCTCGACCTCGGGGTGGGCAGCTAGGATTCTCTAGGAAAATATATCAAAAGCACGGGAGCCTTGGAGAGGGAGCGCAAAGCGGCCCCTCCTTGCAGGCCGTCTCCATGTCCCCTGGGACTCCGAGCGGGAACCACGAGCCGTCCAAGCTGGGCGGGCAAGGGACCCAGAGCAGGGCCCTCCGCATCCCCTCGGGACAGAGGGCAGAGTCCAGCCGCCCCCACTCTCAGCCCCTCCTCCGGCACCCACACTGTCCCATTTCCAGGACACTGGGGAGGGAGAGTCACTTTCAGAAAAGATAAGTAAAACTTAGCACAGGGCAGGACACATACACCTTAGACCTTCAATGAATAGTCATTGATGATTCAATCAAGGCTGGCTTTGAAGTGCCTAGATATTTGCTAACCTGAGCATTTACTCTATATAAAAATGACAAATTCTCGTGATACAACATTAAGTGAAAAACTCAAGATTCAAAAGTGTCTTGTTAGAGCATTTGCAGAATCTATGTGGGTAGTTTGTGCATCTGTAAATATTTTAAATGTTGGTGAGGAATATTCCATAATGTGAGCAGTAATACTGTATACTACCTGTCTTATCTTGGGCTGCCTTGACGAAATACCATAGATCGGCTGGTTTTAATCCACAGAATTTTCTTACAGTTCTGGAGACCGGAAGTCTGAGATCAAGCTGCCATTGAGGTGGGTTTCATTCGGAGGCCACTCCTCTTGGCCTGCAGTGGGGGTGTCACTATTTCTCTGAGTGCTTTTTGTTGTTGTTGTTGTTGTTGTTTTTTGTTGTTGTTGTTGTTTTTGAGACAGATTCTTGCTCTTTCGCCCAGGCTGGAGTGCAGTGATGACATCTCTTCTCACTGCAATCTCCACCTCCCAGGTCCAAGCGATTCTCCTGCCTCAGGCTCCGGAGTAGCTGGGATTACAGGCGTGTGCCACCACGCCCGGCTAATTTTTTGTATTTTTAGTAGAGACTGGGGCCGGGGCCGGGCGCGGTGGCTCACACCTGTAATCCCAGCACTTTGGGAGGCCGAGACGGGTGGATCACAAGGTCAGGAGATCGAGACCACCCTGACTAACACGGTGAAACCCCATCTCTACTAAAAATAAAAAAAAAAAAAAAAAAAAAAAATTAGCTGGGCGTGGTGGCGGGCGCCTGTAGTCCCAGCTACTCGGGAGGCGGAGGCAGGAGAATGGCGTGAACCCGGGAGGCGGAGCTTGCAGTGAGCCGAGATCGCGCCACTGCACTCCAGCCTGGGCGACAAAGCGAGACTCCACCTCAAAAAAAAAAAAAAAAAAAAAAGAGACTGGGGCCATCGTGTCCAGCCATTCTCTGCGTGCTCTTAAGGGTCCATGTATTTGTGCCTGAAACAGTCCTGGGAGTCAGGAGACCCAGTTCTGTTTTCAGCTGAAGTAAGTCCCTTCTTTTCTTTCCTTGAGCCCAGAAGATCAAGGTTACAGTGAGCTGTGATTGCACTACTGCACCAAAAAAAAAAAAAAAAAAAGAAAAAAGAAAAAAAGGTTGACCTCGCCCAAGAAACAGTTTTCTGTAGCTGCCAAGTCTGGTTGCTCTGTGGCAGCAGACTGGAGCACAGACTTCTGAGAGGACACCTGGGAGATGGCCATGAGTGGAGGACTGCTAGAGTTAACAGTGATCCTGGTTTGCCTAGCGCTTTTCTGGTTTTAGCACTCAACGTCCTGGGTTAGACAATCTGTGAAGTCCCAACCAGAACTATGATATTGTGATTTTCCCTTACCCTAGTATCTGGATGTCTACATTCTACTGGGTTCATTCGCCTTTCCAGAATGCTCTTCACCCATGATGGGATCGTTTGCTATGTAAAAATAGGATACTAACACAAGTGTGATCTAATTTGAAATTGTAAAATACTTCCAGCTAATAATTCACATAGCATCTAACAGATGTTGCTGGCTTTCTCTTGAAATTTAAATTATCCTATAGTGCCCTGTAAATCTAGGGCAGTGCCCCGAAGCACCTCAGTGCAGTATGGGAACCATGGCTTGAAAGTGTAAAGCATTACTAGAGATAAACAGGAATATTAAATAATAACAAAAGAGTTAGCTCCTCAGGAAGATATATCAGTTCCAAATGTATAGACACCTAATAACATAGCTTCAAAATATATAAAACAAATGTTGGCAGAATTAACAGCAGAGATAGATGAATTCACATTCGTATACCTCTCTCAATAGCTGGTAGAAAAAGCATATAATAAATTCAGTAGAGATAAACGTAGTGGGAAACCTCTGTAGAGATTTAAGCAGAAAAGTCATATGACCTGATTTACATTTCAAAAACATCACTGTGGCTCATAATCCATTTTACAGATAGGGAAATGGAAACTTGAAGAGGCTTCATAATTTATCTAAGGCTACCCAGTGGGTTAAGTGGTAGAGACAAGACTAAAATCCAGACCCAGTCATCTCCAAAGTCCACGTTCTTAACCACCATGATATATTACTGTCTGGCAAGAATTGTGTCTGTAAAGGGAACTATGCCATTTAAAAATCAGTATGTTCTTAGGAATTTTTAGTAACCAGTATTAATGTTAATTGCATTCCTTTATAACTGAGTTCCAGCGGCTATTACCCCTATTTTGAAGAATCTAAAAGAACGACATGGACCCATGAATAGAGAAATTGGAAATTCCTTCCAGTGGTCTCCATTTTGACTCCTAGTCCCATTTTAAGATAAATGAAGCACTTCAAGATTTTCAGAGAAGATTATGCAGCAATATTTTCCTAATGTTTTTAGTGGATGAAGTATGTTCTGCTCCTTAAAAAGACACCTATATGTTGGGTTTCAAGTTACTGTTTTCAGAATCCAAGAGAAATCTAACACTATAAAACAATGCCAAGAGCAAATGAAGGAAAACACAAATCTAAAGGGGCTCCCCTGCCCATCGTTTTGATTCTTCAAAAGTTTCTGAACACGTATGAGAAGCACTGTGCGCAGTCTCAGACGTCTGTGTGTCCAGCCATCAAAAGTGACCTGAAAAGCAGCATTGACAGTGACCAGGTGCTCAGGAAGGTGAGTGTATGGTCTTGTTTTCTTATTCTTCTCTAAAATGAACTGGCTAGGGTTTACTCCCAAGTCACATGGGTCCTCAGTCCTTGTGTAACCTCCCAAGGGGTTCTTCCTGCCCGCCGCACAAATAAAGACCACAGCATTGTAGTAAAAAAAAGAGTTTGATTGACACCAGGCCAGCCACGCCACGCAAAAGACGAAGTTATCACTCAAATCAGTCTCTCCGAAAATCAGGATTGAGGTTTTTAAGGGTAACTTGGTGGGTAGGGAGGGGGTCACAAAGTGGGGAATGCTGATCTGTCGGGTTGAAGATGAAATCATAGGGAGTTGAAGCTGTCCTCTTGCACTGAGTCAGCTCCTGGGTAGGGTCCACAAGACCAGATGAGCCAGCTTATCCATCTGAGTGGCGCCAGCTGGTGCTTTGGAACACAGGGCCTGCAAACTATCTCAAGCAGCGAGCTCAGGTTTTACAACAGTGACTCCTAAACCATAATTTCTAATCTTGTGGCTAATTTATTAGTCCTGCAAAGACAGTCTAGTCCCTAGTCAAAAAGCGGTTTGTTTTGGGAAAGGGTTGTTATTGTCTTTGTTTCAAAGTTAATCTATTAACATAAACTAAGTTCCTCCCCAAGTTAGTCGGGCCTGTGCCCAGGAATGAGCAAGGACAGTTTGAAGGTTAAAAGCAAGAAGGAGTTAGTCAGGTCAGATTTCTTTCACTGTCATAATTTTCTCAGCTATAATTTTTGCAAAGGTGGTTTCACTTGCAAACCCAGAGCTGGCTGTGTCACCCGCTCTGCATTCCTGACTGAGTGGAGTCCAAAGCCTGGCTTGCCTGCTCAGCCCTTCTCCTCCCTTCCCCCTTTGACCTCCACGGCTGCCCCTCCCATCCCTTCCAGTGGGCCTGTTCTCACACCACTTTCCTGGAAGGACCACCGGAACCTCCTCCACATCTGGAAAGCCCAGCTTGAAAGTCAGCACTTTGGTTATCACTGCAGGACCTCTGCTCCCGGCACTCCAGCCACCCCCACTGACCCCTCCAAGTGAGGGCCTCCTTCTCTTGGCTGCTGATGCGTCCCTGCCGTGAGGTCAGACTTGCTCTCGCCCGCGCCTCCCCTCCTGAGGCCAGCTCACTTGGAGTAAGATCAGCAATCAGAATTCTGACTCCAAAAGCACTGGGTGTCAGAAAATATTCTGATGTCATATCTTTTCTGAGATTAAATCTAGGGCTTGGATGTGAGGGGAAAAAAGGAGAGGAGAGGTCAGCACCGAGATGAAATGGGTAACTTGGGAAGCGGGTACCTGACAGACCAGACGGGGGCGCCTGGCATCCCAAACACAGCTGGGCCAGGCCCCAACTCCTCCCTCTGTACTCTGAACTTCCAGTTCCCCAGCTGCTGCTCCCTCTCTCCTTTCCTTCCCCCAAGGCTCTTTCCACCCAGCACATCCTCCACTCTGCCCTCCCTCATCCACCCCCACTCTCTCTAATCCTTCCTTTCACAGTGTCTTAGCTGGGGTCCCTGCAATTTTCTCCCTGCTCATCCCAATGGACGACCTTCCCAGAACCAGCCCTTTTGTGGTAAAATTGTTCGTAAGTCTTTTTTTTTTTAACTGCAGTTCTTATAATCAGCCTCCACTACTTAATTATAAGGGCTAATCATAACTTGTTCAAACTAGTCCCTTCAGCAATATTCAATTATTTGTTTCACTGCAGTCACTGTCAGAAATCCAGTTAACCTCATGACCCCATATGTAAGTGTCAGCCTGCATCAGCACCACCATAAGGGCTGTTTATGTTGGGTGGGTTGCTTGGGTGGGGTCTCCATTATGATTTTGAATATCATTAAAATAAAAGTCTCATGAGGTAATCATTATTATTTTTACTCCATAAGAGGCACTCAGACAATTTCCTTTCTTTTCTATTTTGTTAAAGAAGAAAAAAGAGGCTGGGTGTGGTGGCTCAGGCCTATAGTCGCAGAACTTTGGGAGGCTGAGGTGGGAGGTTTGCTTGAGGCTGGGAATTTGAGACCAGCCTGGGCAACATGGTGAGACTCGTCTCTACAAAAAATTAAAAAATTA